TTCTTTGAGCGTCTACTAATGATCAGTTGGGAAAATTCCGTGTTCTTCGTCAGCGTTTTGGACGAGTCATCCTACTTGAGAGAGCCTTTCCCTGACGTAAAGCCACTGGGAATTTTATCGCGCCACACGACATACACCGCTTGGAACTGTCAGCTGCATTAACGAGAAATAACCATTTAACATATTTTCCAAGTCCGGTAACTCGTCCAGATTACTAAATTGCAAGATTTTCACATTCAAGGCTAAAAGTGGCTAAACTGGTCCTGATTTTCAACCAAGCCCGTTCATGATGAATCAAGTAGAAAATTCAGTGGTTTCGAAGACCCGGACGAGTTGTCCCATTTAGGTCAATGACAATGCGATCGCCATCCACACAACTAATGAAGCTGCTACCTAGTTATTCCTAGTGAAAAAAACCTTGATAATGCTCATCTGGAAATCGAATCGGACGCACCTGGAAGGCATAGGCCTCATTCTTGATAGCCAAATCGAAACCGACTCCTTTCTCGAACGGCATCTTGCCCTCTCTTTCTTCATTTCCCCACTCGTTAGCAGCCAGAGCGTTCCTAATCACCGCCTGAAATCACAAGGCATTGAAAAAGTCCTTTTAGAGACAGAAAACAACATCAGAATGCTGCTACTAACACTGCCTGGTTTAACATCCAAAATATTCCAGAAAATCTGAGCTCTCGGGGGTTCTAAGAAGTACGTCTACATTTCAGCGTATGAACAAGGAAGCTAGTTTTTAAACTTCCCCAAGCTTACTATAAACAATTAAGTATGTGTTTTTAAGTGCCCCATTGAGGCGATCCGTCCCGTTAGCCCTTATCTTCAGAAAGGGGATTTTTTAGACCCTTTTCTGACTGACTTTATTAACGGACTATACTTTGGTAGAGGATTGCGATAGGCACTGAAATGGGAAAAGACTTTTCGGCTTTATTTTGATTCATTCAAGCAAAAGCAGTATCGATTTTTGCAGAAGGACTCTCTTCTGCAACAATCAATACTTTGGAATTTCAATTAGAAAATCTCATCAAAAGAATACACCAGTGAGTTGAACCCTGTGGTGGGAATATTTATAGGTCCAAGACTAAGCAGATTATTTCTCCTGTTCGTCGTCTTAGTACAGCGGTTGGCGAGGGGCCACAAAAAAAAGTCAGTTGTCGTTGCGGGAACCGCAGCCACACTATCGTGACCAAGTTTTTCGCACCCAAGACAGCGCGGAAGTGATAATGGACGTACCGAGTGGAAGATACCAAGATCTTCCTCTATAAGCTGGAGCGATCGTCTCCCGCGGCATCGCCTTCATGTACGCCAAAATATGAAGTCATCTCCAGTCGCGGCCTGACTGGAGAACACCTTTGGAATTCACGTCGCCTCCAAACAGCTGCGAAACTTCTTGAATGAAGTCATCCACAGATAGCTGGCCGCGCGATTACCTGGAGGTCAGTACTTTGATGTGCAAGACTCCACATCGAGAGCTTCGCCAAACTTCGCTACGGTCTAGGACATCATCTTCACCGTATTCGCCGAGGCGCGAGTTGATGGTATGGACCGGGGTACCTGGAAAGGGGAAGACCGATATTTTCTTTGTAGACCCCGACTGAAGGTGAGCGCTGGCGGTTACATCAAGTAACTCGAGAAGATATCCTCCCTACATGTGGTCGCCCGTACCTTCTTGGAGACCTTGTGCTGCTACAGGTTTGGGTGCCACCACATGGAATCAAAGGGTTTTGGAAAAACTCCCACCTACTTCGAATGGAAGGGCGTTTCGTACCTGAAGAAGATGTAATATTGAAGTATGTTCCCCCTGACCTCGAACCCAACTCAGAGTTAATCCTAGTTCGCGGCCGGCACTCACATAGGTGGTCTACCGGTGGCGCATGAAAGAAATCGAACTCAGCCTCGCTCGATCTCGGTACCACCATCGCGTCGCAGCACCCACGCGTGGCCAGAATCTCTCGATGGCGCTCCTCCAGAAGGCTGTGGCGGAGTATCATTATAGTATTTAATGTGCTCTTTAATATGGTAGTAAAATGTCCGATAAAAATTCAATAAAGTGTAACTTATATATGGCGCCATCTGAAAGTCATGCGATGAGCACAAGGACTTTCTTTTTGCGCCCTCCCGTCCTGTCTATGATGAACCTCTCTACGCTTCTATACGTTCCGTTCCATACCTGTCGCGCTCAATCGATTCAGTGCCTGTGACAATCACATTTTAATCTGCGCTCTACTCCCTAAGATCCTATGGCAGTCGCTGCATGCGTTCATCGCTCCGAAGAGCGATTGGCCGACTGGTAGTTCGTATGCAACCGAGCAATTAGCGGAGGGTGCAGCGCCTGGGGGTGGCATTCGTACTCCGCCTCTCTTGGAGTGCGCAATTCCAAAAAAAAACAAGGTCTGCCGCCCGGACAGGCTCTAGTACATGAACGCAGCCCAACCTCTTATAGCGGCGCAGACTCAAGAACGACGAATATCGATTCTACGAGAGCAGAAACAATACTCCTTTTAAGAATGAGTACTATCGTGGCAACTCTCTAGTAAAGAGAGAGGGCTTATTTTGAAAACAAACGAAATGATTACATGTTTAAAAAAACACTAATATCTAGCGTACCTTCTCATCAAATCGCGGATTGAAATGCAGAGCGATGTCACCGTTTCGCCTCAGAAGATTGATATTGAAGCGCTTGGCCTTCTTCTCGACGGTGCCGAAAATGAGCAACGTCTTGTCGATCGGGAAACCGCTGGCAATTCCACTTTCATATGGGACTGGCTGAAAACATAAGGTATTAGCCAAAAATCTTTATTCTTCTCAGGATTAGACGAACTGTGTACTTTCTCCATTCAAAGAAGCCATGGTGTTTACTGGTCAGAAAGAACAGTAGCCAATAGCACCTTGTGGCTAAACCCGTCGGTCTGATTGGTCAGGGATTACTGGTCAGAAAAAATAGTAGCTAATAGCGCCTTCTGGCCATACCCCTCCGCTCCGATTGGTCAGTTTAGGTGAAAGTGGGATTCGACCGTTCAGAGCGCCATTTTACACAAATCTGTTTAGCGCTGTCCGAACAATTTCTGAGCCTTGAAGATGGAAATGGCGAATTCTTGAGAACCACAGCTCAAAATCGAGTACGGCTCGAGAAATAGGACCGGCCGTGAGCGCAAAGTGTTCTTCAAGCTTTTTCAAGCGTTTTTGGTCCTATCTGTCGTTCTATGTGGGCAAGGAGTTCCAGGGAACAGTTACTGAGCCTTTACCCCCTCCTCAAGGGAAACGGCCCCTTATTGACAGCAACGCCATGTCTTCCTACTACTTCATTCAGCGTTCGTTGCCCTACTCCCTATCGCCCTATTTCCGTAACCAGGACGGCGCCGATGTTATGGCAGGCCTAAGCCAGGAGCCGACAAACCCATTCACTTTTACGATCGCTTATCTCCGACGGCGCGCCTGAAAACCCTCGGAAGACCGTGGAAAATCAATCGATGGAGCGATTTCGTCGATGTGTTGTAGTCAAGCGGCAACTATGCAAATGTTATTACAACAATGGTATTTCGATAGAAAAACGTCCTTTTGAATGCAGAAATAGCAGCTGTCTGGTTTTCGCATCGATTAAAGGCGGGTGTGCCTAGCACGGGTGGCAGGACTGGTTCCAAGACTGGGCAGGCGTAACCACCCAGAAGTGTACGGTGGGACTCCTGGCGTTCAAGCAAGAACGAAATATAGCTCTTTACAACGTAGTTCCTAGAAAAAGCACAAATTGAATGGGAGGGTATCGCCTCAGCTCAGGGGCCAAAATGTGCCACTACGGACTACCTCAACATCATTCCACCACTTTTACCCCAAACTTCCGCCGTCGACGGACGGAAGCGAGAGGGAGGGGGGACTGAAAACCTCTTTCTCGGAGGAAGATCCGACCTCCCCTCACTCGCTTGGGATCCTCGAAGTACGACGTGTCCTGGATTTTGCATTAATCATTCAAAACAAGCAAAAACCGCAAGGTGAAGAAATTCTCATTCTAAGCCTCTCTTCGCGCTAATAAGCCCCTCTGAAACCAGCCAAGCCTGCTTGTTCCATCTAAAATCATTAAGATGATGGAATATGCATGAGGCAGACAGGCCTCTTCAAGAGCTAATCCGACATCGGAAACGTTGCACTTCATGGATTGACGGGCCATAAGTCGTAGTACATGATCCCAGCAGTAAAAAGCTTATGTTCTCACCTAGGCACGTTCACATCGCCACGAATGTCTAGTTTCTGCGGACGAAGGGGCGTGTCAGGCGGGGGTATGTGACAAGAGAATCGTAATTCACCGCGCTGGTGGGCGTCGCGTGCGACGTCGCGCCCGCAAATGACGATGGTTCCAGGTAGTAGATGGCGACAACAGGCAATTCAGAACCGAAATAGTCATGAATGTCTACGATGACGGGGTCTACATGAAGTCCAATCAACAAGTTAACACGAG